TCCTTAAACCCTACACTCTTAGACTTTCATGTAGTAGGTATGCCCTTTTATATAGGCATTTGTTTTGAAATCATACAAAAAATTTCTTCTTTGGAAATATTTAGATGTGAAATACATTGATTTTCCTTTTTTTGAATAATTGTTTGAGGGGCATTTACATGCGTACCACACAATTCTTGTGTATTTACAGATAAATTTTTTTATTTACAAACATAGAACCTAAATCTTTAACATCACATGAAAATACCACTATTGTTTACTTTTTTAAGTGAAATATACCTTTCATAAATAGGTTTATGACACCAAAGTGCTATATATGTAAATATGAAATTTTAAATGTGTAAATATGAAATTTTAAAAATTTTAAATGTTAGATATGTAAATAAATAAGAATTGTGTGGTGTGTATGTAAATTTCCCAATTTTTAAATTTTAATGTTAGGTGAGTATCGTTATGCTGCATGTTTATGAGGCATTCATATTCTACTTCTATTCAGTATTTTATTGCGGGCTTTATGCTTGATAGCTTTTCATCAAACTGTGGGATTACCATATGTTGAATCATCGCAATGTTTTTCTCATGTTGCCAGAAAAGTTTTGCAAGAGGAAGCTGTGTATTTTACAATTGAAATTAATCAAGTTTTAGGGTACAGTTTCTTTATTTTTTTAATTTAATTAGGCGCTGCAGCATCAGTCATCAAGCTTCAGCATTGGAAATAAATTGAAGGGCATTTACATGCATACCGCACATTCCGATGTATTTACATATCTATCACCTAAACTTTATTTTTTACATTTATACCGCCCAAATATTTCATATCACATAGAAAATACAACCATTTTAACTTCTAAAAGGAGAAATACATTTTTTTTATGCATAGATAAAGTGGTTTATCTGAAATTTTTTAGCTGATTCGCATTACTATTGGTGTTAGTTCTATTAGATTTTGTTCGGCTATCATGAGTTCGTTGTCATACTATTTTTCTGTAAATTTTTAAAATCCTTTCTGCCATCTCATTGTGGATGGTTTCCCCATCACATGCATAACCTCAGTTAAATATAATTTATGTCGAATCTATTTCTGTTCCATGAATTGAAATCATGAGACCTTATTCCTGAAAGGATGATTTATACAAAATGTATTTCCAATAAGTTGATATGCTTTAATCTTGAAAGGATGATTTATTCAACAAGTATTTCCATGAAAAGTAGGATCTGTAATTTTGAAGTTTCTAATTATGTTCAAGTGTCTTAAATCCTGTTTTTATTTTTCCTGCTAGGTTCGTGGTTCTATTCCACTGCTTTGGGAGCAGATTGTGGACTTGAGCTACAAACCAAGGCTTAGGATAATTGGGCATGGAGAAACTGTGAGACTAATTCTATTATTTTATATCAACTACCTGTACAGAAGATATGTTGATTAATGTAATAAACCTGGTGGTGCTTTCAGGCCAAGGTTGTTGAACGTCATTTTAATGATCTCATACAAAGATACGGAAATATAGTAGTACTTGACCTGACAGATGAAGTAAGTTTCCTTTCAGATAATCTATACAGTTTAATAAGTTATATTTGAATCTCATTTTTGTCTTTCATATTAAATTTAACATGTAATTATCTTTTTTTCCCCTGTATTTTGCAATGACATTATTTTCTATACACTTTCTCATTTCTATTACTCATCTTTAAACAAATGCTTAAACCTGAAAGAATTATTTTAAAACATAGTGAACTACAGTAACCAGTGAATACTCCCACTTTAAAATTACAGTATGTAATGAATAAGGAAGAAATATGTATGCTAATCGGTCAAATATAAATAAGTTTAGGACTAATAACAGTTTACTTATCAAATATGACAATTCAATGAGTTCCATAACATTCTTTAATACGGTATTGTATCTTTTTTTTAATATGTAACATTTTATTTATACAATAGAAGAAGCGGAAATATCAACATGATTATTATTACTGTTTCTTAGAATGTTGTAAAAAATAAACAAACAGAAACATTTTTTTTAAATACTTTTACTTGGAATGTTGTAATATGAAATTCTAATATCAACATGGTTATTATTTTAATTAATATTTTTATTGATGATTTTTCATTAAAAATTAAAAAATAAGTGAGATTAAAGATAATAAGAAATGATAGAATATACATACAACTAAAGATAAAGCACGAGATAAACAATTCATTATGTTGATAATTCTAATCTAAGTCAACTGGGTGATGAGAGTGATATGAAATTTAAATTTAAAAATTTAAATGTTGATGTCTTCGGGGCAGTATGAACGTGAGGGAAAGATCATTGTTGAACTTATTTTGTTTGTTATATTTTGACATTTTAGTATTTTATTTTAATATTTTACCTTAGTTTTATAGTTTAATGTTTATATAACTCATCTTATTTTATAATTTAATGTTAGAATATTAGCATGTTACTTCTAAGTTTACGTCATTAATTACTTTTAGTTAGAATGTTATATTACTGTTCAATGTGTTAATAAATTAAAATATTAATAAATTATTCTTTATTCGCACTTTGTAGTATATACAATATTTATTATCTACACAATTTCTTAAATTTTGAGGCTATTGCCTCAAAATGCATTGAGGCTTTCGCCTCGTCTTATGAAAGAAGAACTCTTTAATACCTAATTGCGCAATTTTAAACATTGCCCTTAACTTCAAATTGTTCATGCTCAATTCTCTATTATTTTTTCTACTAATTTCAATTCATTCATCATGTTATATTGTTGCAGCATGGAGACGAGGGGCAGCTAAGCTGTGCATATGCTGCTGAAATGGAGAAACTTTCCCATGTGAGGTACCATTATTATTCATGTTTTTGTTATTTTAAGGTTATAAATGGTTTAAATTTGTTAGTAATAGTATGCGCCTATTTTTTTTTTTTTCAAGTAAAGTAGTTTATTAGGGAAGGATGGAGAGGATTTAGACCAATTTTGGACAACCTTATTTGTGTTTTGTCATTATGCCCATGTTGCTGGTTGTCCGAGGAAGATCAGTCCTTAAAGCCTCTTTCAGTCCATAGAAGTTACGTCGTTGGTTTTCAATTTACATTTTTAGATGTGGTAGGTTTTCTTCATTTACTATTTGGAAAATTTACATACATACCACTCAATTCTTATGTATTTACATATTAAACACCTAAACTTCAATTTTGCATGCATAACACCATACCTATGCATGAAAAGATTTAGGTGGTATAATTGTAAAAAACAAAGTTCAGGTGTTAGATATGTAAATATATAGGAATTAGGTGGTATATTTGTAAACGAAATGTGCTTAGATACCCCAGTTGTTGATCTTTGCCCTTTTGTAATGAAAGGGCTTTGTGCCACACTTTGTATTCTTAACATATAAATTGCCTAAGAAGACTTACAATGAAGTCACTGAGATGTCATTGCCTCTATTGCTGTTGGAATAGTAACTTTATTTTATTTCAATCTATAATTTTTCCCATGCCTTAACATATCTTATTTCTAAAATGCTTAGTGGTTACTTATCAATATTGTTAATAAGTGTTAGGCATCCTAAAGACGATATATTTCTGCAGCACCTGAGGTGTTGGACTCATTGATGTAGATAATCATGGGATTTTAAAATTATTCTGTATTTTACTTATTTTTCCCTCATGGTAGTGATATGGTAGTCATTTTGTGATTTCTCATAAATATTTGTCATTAAATGCTTGGCCTATTTCTATAAATAGATGAGCCATCAGGATTTATGGACGAAAGAAAAATTTATTTAAGAATATAATTTTTGTTCATTCAAGCTCCTCTCCACACACACACTCCCTCTCCCTCTCCCTCTCCCTCCTTTAATCTCCTCAGCTCCTCGCTGTCATTTCTTTTCCTCTATATTTTTTTCTCTACGCCCAAATACAATTCGGTTTTCTTCGACCCTACATCAAAATTTTACAGGCTTCATCCCAATAGCATGTTCCTCTCCAATTAGTATTTTCTCAATCTGAAGTTATATTGTGATTGAGGCGGCCAAACTGCTATAACTTTTATAGAAGGTTATAATCCTCGCTTTAAGTTTATTAGAGAATATATTTGAATTGCTAATTAGATCCTCCTCCATGTGCCGACTATATTCCATATTTTTTGAAATGCCTACACTGAATTGCATGCAAGTTTTTTTCCTGATTCTCTAGCTTGTTTTGTCTTAGGGGCATTTAAAAGCATAACACCATTTTAACTTTTTAAAAGTGAAATAGACTTTTTCATGCATAGATAAGGTGGCATGCATGACTGTAAAAATTGAATTTTATGTGTTAGATATATAAATACATAGGAATTGAGTGGTTTGTTTGTAAATCTTCCTATGTTTTTACTCACTAGCCGCCTCTTCACTAAAGTAATTGATCATGCTTTAGAATGAGTAAAATCCAAATATGCCATAGCAATGGTACTACGGGTAGTTGAAATTCTCTGAATGATCGCCCAGCTTGTATGAAGTTGGTTTCCTTTTTGTTTAATAGGGAATTATGAAATTTTCTTTGCTCAATCCTTGGGAGAGTTAAACACAGTTTTCTAGTCTGTTTTTGGCTTGAATTCTATCGCATCAGCTAACTCTACACCAAGAGCTATGGTAAGATAGTGGGAACATAAGAATAACAAAAATGAATCTTAATGGCCATGATTATTGTCCAATTCCATGTAGCAATATTAGAGGGTTGGGATCAACTAGACACCGAATAACATGCATCAAAATAGTTAAAACAAGAATGTGGTGATATGAAGGCTTAACTGGTATTGCGAACTCAACCACTCTGTTGGATATTAGTGTAGAGTGGAATTTGGAGTAGGAAGGCTAGTGTCGAAGGGAGGTTTTATTTTACTCAGAGGAAATTTGGTGTGTGATGATGCTGTTATGAGTGAGGTAGGTGAGTGGAGAGTTCAGGAAGGTAAGTTAGGTTAGTGGCTGTGGGGAGGATAATGAGATATGCCGAACGATGAAAGGATAGTTGAGGTTTTGGTTAAAAGCGTTGTTATTTAGGTGGGTTAAGTTTTTAGAATTGGTGTAGTTGCGGGGCTTGGTGGTGATGTTGATGGAGAGACTAAGAGGGGGTGATGTTTAGGGGTTGGTAGGGGTATTTTGGATTTGTGTTTTGGATGTTTCGGGAGGAGATGGTTATCCTAAAACTTAACCCTTGACAAAAAATTTTGAAGTAAATTACATAATGACTAACATATCCCCTCACATTCATGTTATCATGGTTAAAAAATAAACAAATCATAACTTTAACTGTCCATAGTTATCCTACCTTCACCACAAAATATGGCATTGAAAAAAAAAAAAAAAGAAAGAAAAAAAAAAAAAAATATTAATATATATATATATAGAGAGAGAGAGGGAGAGAGAGAGAGTAAGAATTATATATTGTTAAAAGGAATGACCAGAGGCTATTAGACGAGCTTCCAACCACCCCTAATGTGCCTAACAGTTCAAGTACCATCCTTCATAAGGCGGCTGTTGCTAGAGGGGGATTCAGACCTCAGGGGACTTACAACTGACATCCCAGATGCCAACACACACACACACACACATATATATATATTACTTGATAAATATATATCAATTTTGAAGAAGGGTTTTGAAAAACATAAATTTATATCTTTTGCGGTTGCAATAAACTGTTGTATACTCTTCTTGTACTCCAACTGAAAAATTATGGTAGGCCTGCTATTTGTTTGCGTTTCAATATTTGTAAAATATTTTGTATGAATCCCTACTTATATATATTATACAGTTTATGTATATTTCTTCTTATGATTTGTCTGAGCTAGTTAGCATATTCTGTTAAAAATATTAAAAGCCCTCAAATATAAAAATTGTGAAATAAATTTGAGTTTCATGGCTTTTATGATTTATATGAAGCATATTCTTTTGAAAATGCAAGGACATTGGACCACCCCTCTCACCTCAAGCAATTTTGTGCCTTTCATTCTTAACGGTTCTTCTTTCCCTGAGAACTAAAATTTTTATTTGGGGCATCTACATATAAACTGCTCAATTCTTATGCATTTACATATGTAACACCAAAACTTTACTTTTTACATTTATACCATCCAAATTTTTAATCTCACATGAATAATACCACTATTTTGATATTTAAAAAAATGAGATAAACCTTTTCATTCATAGGAGGTAAGGTGGTGGCATCTATGTAAAAATTGAAGTTTAGATGTTAGATATGTAAATGCATAAGAATTGAGTGGCATGCAAGCAAATCAATTTTTTTTTTTAATATACATTAGCTTTTATTATACCTATAATTAGAAAGGCTTGACTGAGGCCACACTAATGCCAGCCACAAGAACTTCATCTATAACTTGATGCATTTTATTAATCAGTTCTGTTATCTCTAACTTTGTTACTAATAAAACTTCCTGTATGCTTGATTCTCAGATATGTGTCTTTCGACTTCCATTGCCATTGTGCTAAGGGAAGGTTAGATAACTTAAAAATTCTATATGATGAAATCTCTGAGGACTTCCAAAAACAAGGGTAATCAAGTTATGAAAGTTCCAGTTCATGTACGCTACAGTATTTTTTTTTGTTCTTGAAGGATTTTGCTTGCAAATAATTTTCGGGCATTTGCATACATACCATACAATTCTTATGTATTTACATCTATAACAACTGAACATTTATATTTATATGTGTACCACTCAAATATTTACTATCATGACTATCTTTTTAAGAGTAAAATACATCTTCTCATGCATAGGTTTATGACACGAAGGTGTTAGTAAGTGTAAATATTAAACTTTGGGTGTTAGATGTGTAAATACATAACGAATGTGTGTTATGTATTTAAATTTCCCTAATTGTTTTCTGATCTCCTTTTTGTGCCAGCTGAGCAGATATTTTCTTATCAATTCTGAAGGAGTTATATTGCAAGAGCAGAGGGGGGTTACTCGTGCAAATTGCATCGATTGCTTGGATCGGACAAATGTTACACAGGTTTGTAAATAATACTTATTAACCACTTACATGACTTTTAAACATGTTTTGTAACATTTGGAGCTATAAGATTAAAAGTTGCATTTACATACGGACCACACAATTCTTGTATCATTACATATCTAACACCTATAGTTTCATATTTACATGTATACCATTTATATTTTCATAACTTTTAAATTTTTTGAAACATTTGGAGCAATCAAATTAAAAGAGGAATTTACATACATACCACAATTCTTATATATCTACAGATCTAACGCCTAAACTTTCATGTTTACATGTATACCACTCAAATCTTTAACATCACATCAAAAATATCACTATCACTAACTTTTTGAAAGTGAATTACACCATTTCATGCATAGATTTATAACACCAAAGTTTTATAAATAACACCAAAGTTTTATAAATGTTTATAAATGTAAATATCAAATTTTAAGTGTTAGATATATAAATACATAAGAATTGTGTGATATGTATGTAGAATTCTCAAATTAAAATTTTAACATGCATGTATTACAATTTAGGAATATTTTACCCTTTTCTTTTAATTAAGGCAGCATATTACTCAATTTTTCAGCATTAGCTATCTTTCCTATCCATGTTACTTTTTGAAACACATCATATAACAAACGAACAATCTTCATGTTCTGAGTGAAATAAAAATTAATTATTAAGTCGAGAAATATTCTACTACATAAAAATCTGTGTTTCACTTTTTATAAGTTAAAATGACGGTATGTGATATGAAAGATATGTGCGGTATAAATGCAAAAGGTAGAGTTTAGGTGTTAGATATGTAAATATTATGGAGATATTGTTCCCAGCAGCTTTGTGATGTGTGTTTGTTGCATTTTTGTATCAGTGTTATTTGGCAAGGAAATCATTGAATTCACAACTGCAGAAAATAGGTGCATTTTCTTCCACTGATTGCATATCTCTGTATGTCGATATAGATGAAGCGTTCAAGATGTGTAAGTTTTTCTTTCAAAAAAATTCTCTGTTTCTATTCTGTTTATTTGTAATTAAAATTTATTTGCTGACAATTTGTTCTATTTGTATTTTAGTGTGGGCTGAACATGGTGATGAGATTAGTTTGGAATATACTGGTACTCATGCCTTGAAGGGAGACTTAGTGAGGTACTTCTTTTATAAATTTCTGCATGCATATATGGCATTTACAGACATACAGCAAAATTCTCTGTATTTACTTATCTACCACTTAAAACATTCATATTTATAAGGATACCACTCAAATCTGTTGTATCATATAAAAAATACCTACATTACTTGCTTTTTAAAGGTGAAATGCACATCTTCATACGAAGGTTTATGATACCAAACTGTTATAAATGTAAATATGAAAGTTTAGGTGTTAGATATGTAAACAGTTAAATGTGTGGTTTGTATTTAAATTACTCCTTTTTATTTTTTATTTTATTTTGTTTATATTTGATTAAAGATAAAATATTTTTACATGTTAAACTATAAATTAACTTATTTTTAAAAACATTCAAAAGATCTAGAGGTGCTTGAGTGGTTTTAACAATAAGTTGATTTTTTTAAAAATAAAAAAAAAAATATGTAAAAAGTATATTAAACAAATGGGAAACTTACATTTATACCACAATTTTTTATATTTACATATCTAACACCTAAAATTTGATATTTTTTATTTATAACATTTTGGTATTAAAAACTATAGGCATAAAAAGTTGTAATTTATTTTTAAAGAGTTAATGAAAGTGTTATTTTTTATGTGATCACAAATATTTGAGTGCTAGGTATGTAAGTATTGAATTATTGTTGCATATGTAAATTTATAAGCATTGTGTAGTATGTATGTAAATGACCCTAAATAATATGCTTTTTTTCTTCTTATTCGGGCAAGCGAGCGCTCGAGCTAGGTACTTTGAAATTCTGCACTTTGTTTCCAATGAATGTGTAGAGAACATAACAAATATGTTTTTAGAAGCAAAGTAAAAGAACATTTTTACTAGCGATGTAGTGGTCGAGGGTATAGTTTTTCACCATGAGATCGCTGGTTCGAATTGCGTGTTTTCATTCTTTTTGAACTTGGAGTTGCCAGCTTGTTTGATTGTTGTCTTGTAATCATCATTTCCACAGTCCTCTTTCTTGGATCATCAATATAAATTCAGAGAATATGAGGAATTTGAAAGAAAGATAATACGACGAAACTAGAGGAACAAATTAAAAAAAAAAAAATGAAGAACTTGTGTAAGGTTATCCTCGTGCGATAGGTTAAGAGTGTATGTCCCAAACGGGATCTAATCAAAACACCTTGAAGCACGAAATTCATGAAGAAATTCTCTACATAAGCAACTCATATAATCAGAGAATTAAAATTAATAATTTTTTTCGGGGCAAGAGCAACTCTCAAAGGACCGTGTCCCCTTGGTTAATTACACATCTTAGGGGATACTCAAGAATACTCTCGATAATAAGAACCCTGCTTAAAATTTGTGATAACTAGTGAAATAAGTATATCAAAGAAATGATTATCTTGATTAGGAGAATCTCGGTGCTTCCGAAATCTATACCGAGCCAAAAGGGAGGGTGAATCCCTCACATTCTCAAATGGACAGTGGCTTGTTGGCAAATGAGGCCTAGAAAATATTTGTATTTTCTCGAACAGGTCATTCCTATGCTTCAAAGCCTACTGGGTCATAAGGATGGCGACCTATCAACAATCGGACCCTACGAGACGACATCAACGAAGTATCAAAGGGAAAACAAAGTAGGTTTACCAATGAAAAAGGTAATAAAATCCTAATCAGATAGAGATAGGCTTGCCAGAATGTCATGAATCCGTCATCTTAAGACCCTAGGTCTACCTGGTCGTGAAGGTAGTCGACCCAGTATGACCTTAGAATCTCTTGTTAGCAACTCATGTTTGTATCTCAAATGGGCGGCAGCCTATCAACAATCATGACATACGAGACGACAACAACGAAGTGTTAAAGGCAAGACTGGGCTTAAAGGGAGTTTACCAACAAAAGGGTAATGAAATCCTAATCGAATTGGGCTAGTCGGATTAGGATTCCATAGATTTATCATATTAAGCCATTAAGACCATAGGTTTACCTAGTCGTGAAGGTAGTCGAACCAGCCCGACTTGAGAACCCTTTGTCAGCAACTCATGTGCTTTGTCGTCCAAGGAATCCTGCTAGTTCTAAAGTCAAAGGAAAGAAACGTGTAATCCTTATGACCCTATACAAGTGAGATTCACAGACATAAGACTTATGCCCACCAAAAACAAGGTGAAGACGCCTTTGGAATGAAACTGTCGATAAAGTCGAAACCACCTCACAAAGGACTTATATCATATATGGGTCGGGGAGCCTCTTGCACCTTAAACGCTCTAGACAACTACCTAAATTAAAAATCTTATGCTTGATCAGTCGGGTTGAAGAAACAGGGGTGCTTCTCCTTAGAACATGTAGAATGATGCAGTTATTTAATCTAACTCTAATGTGGATATCCTATTAAGTATGATTTGGGTGATAAACATTCATGCAAACTCGTTTCAAAACTTGCCCGAAGGCCATGCAAGAAAGTAAAAACAATAAATAAAATGCTTGTTTTAAAATAAAATAATTTTAATCCTAAATTTTGTTAAGCTCAATATTTTATTATTAAGATTTTCATAAAAATGAAATATTTTAATTCTAAAGAGCCTAAATTACATATGCATAGAGCCCAGACAAATCACAACCATAAGAAAGAGTGAATGTCAACACTCTGCATAAAAGTAAACAAACCAGCTCAAATAAAATAAATAAAAGGTTGGGTGCTGCTGGATCGACAATATATCACCGAAAGATAAAAAAGCGGTCAGGCTTTGAATATATATACTTGATCATAATGTCTATACAACAAATGAAGATTTGGAATTAATCTACGAGGCACAGGTTTGATGCTTCTGGTTCTCGTCACTCACTTCCACACATTAAGCACCTCGGAACACGTGTTTGTACCTTATTAGGGATGCAAATTTGACTTAATGAATCTAGAAGAAAAGACATGTAAAAGTCAAAAAGACTCGACTTGCAACAAAGATGTTAGCACGAGTTATTTACATATAACGGATAACGAACCATGCCTGAAGGGAGAGCTAGGCAGCACCTGTAGAAAATTGGTTAGCTCAAATCGTTATAGCTCCTCCTTGTTGAGCATGACACCCTGCAAAAAGACCGTTCTAACATATCTCACATTTAGTAAACACGCAAAGGCAACATGTAAATTGTCGGACCATTCACAAATCATGAACAATAACCAGACATATGAAAATCCTAGTAATACCCTATCCTATTCTAGCAAATATTTAAAACAAGGTGTCCTAATGCATACATCTAAGTGTATGCAAAAATATAGCTAAGGCGATCATATAACATTGACGGGATCACCAACACTGGCCCCCTCCTCAAGATCCAAGAATTCTAATACGTGCCACTAAAATAACAGTTTTAAAGGAAAATAAGTCATTTAAAATTTGACCTCATATACACTTTAAACTATAGATGTTTTAGTTTAAAAATAAGTTTAAAACATGATGCGTAGCATTAATATAAGAATAATTTTTTTTAGTTTTAATATAGATCCTACTTGAAATATGTTTAAAACTATAAATGCTTTAACTCAAATCATTATAGCTTTTTCCTATTGAGCATGACACACTGCAACAAGACCATCCTAAAATACTAGTGCGTCGCAAGGACAACTTATAAAATGCCTGAATAGGCACAAATCATCAATAATAACTGGATATATGAAAATCCTAGCTACACCCTATCTTATTCTAGCAAATATGTAAAACAAGGTATCCTAATACATACATCTAAGTGTGTGCAAAAATGTGGCTAAGATTGGCGTATAACATTGACGGAGTCACCGAAACTGGCCCCCTCTTAAAGACCCAATAATTCTAATTCGTGCCACTAAAATGACAATTTTAAAAGAAAAGAAATCATTTAAAATTTGGCCTCATATATGGTCTGAACTCCATATGCTTTAATTTAAAAATAAGTTTAAAATATGATGTGTAGCATTGATATAAGAATAAAGTTTTTTAATTTTAATATAGACCCTAGCTGAAATAAAATCTAAGTGTCACTTGTTAAACCTCTTGGAACCTTAGCGCAGTCATGCATATACTAATCACAATGCGATAACTCGCATTATTTGCTGAAATATGCTTGCGAGCAATGCTCGTTAAGTCATTGCGACCAACAGTGGACCACTCGTCTGACAGGATCGATTTGCCATCAAGGCAGGCCGGGTAGTGCATATGTGAAATATAGAGTGACTTAGTATATGGTGGTCACTCCATCGAGGCGTGAGTGATAACGAAAGATATGCTAAGAGGCCAAATTCGATGTGATCGACGTGACTGCTCTATCGAGGTGTGAGCGATCACATTGGATGCTAAAGGATATACATACATTAGTGTCATGCTAGGTGGACACGCATACTCAATCATATGCATGAACACAAATGATTTGCTCATTTGACATGATCATATGAGGTAAACGATCATATACGAACAAACCAACATAGGATATACATAAATTCAGTCACACTAGGTGAAGTGATTGCATCTATAGGCTAGCGAATAGCTAGCCATCTCAAAGTGTCGTACACTAATCATGGGTATATGGTGACATATGCTCAATGACGGGGATGTTGAGCGTGCAAATGCAACTGCGAAAGATGCCACATACATATGACACACAATCTAGGTGCATCGGGTACAAGACACCCTAAGGGAGATTACACCTCACCTGAGAGGCAAGCCAGATGCACATGCGAATGACAAACATATGCTACATCATATGAGATAACATGCACAAGTGATGTTAAGTTTGATTGCATCGGGTACAGAACAACCTAAGGGGGATTACGCATTGCCTGAGAGACCACCAAACAAGCTCATGCAGATGACAAACATAAACAATGCATGATATGAACATGTACACATGATATGAACATGAATATGTCCATGAAAATTCTAGGTGATATCATGTGTGCATTAGGTGATATGACTCTTGCTAGGTAGGTGATGGCAAGATGTACCAACATCTTGTTACACGAGGTAACAAGAAGCCCGTCTTCGTTTGCTAGGTACGAAAATGATGAGTTTTCATGAAGAAAACCTTCATAGTCTAGGGAGTGAAAATGTCAAAGTGATCTTCACTCTCTGAGCTAAAAGGATTCCACTTCTTCCATCAAATAGGGTGGAATCGCTGAAATCAAATGCGGTATTACTACAATCCCGATTATCTTAGGATTTGGAGCTAGGGTTGGGGGAGAAAACTCATGGATCGTAGGGAATCACGAAGAAAAGCTTCATAACCTTGGGCTTCCTCTAACATCAGCTTAAAGCTTATAAATCTAACACAAAACCTAAAAAAGGTATGCTAGGAGCAAGGGAAACTTAGACTTTTGAGGAAGTTTCACCTTCTTGGCGGTTGGAGATGCATTCTCTTTGCTAGACCTTGATTCTCCCATGCTAGATTGAAGATGATGTCTTTTTTCTCAAGAAAAAACTCAAACACTCTTCAATAAAATCACTCTCTCGCACTCTTTTTGTGGAGAAAGATTGAGTAGAAGAGGAAGATGAAGAGAAAGAAGTGGAAAAGGGAAGAAAACCAAGAAAAGAAGTTCATCTTTCAAGAAAATCCCCAAGGTTCTCTCAAGCTCCCCCAAAGCTCATCAAGAATGAATTCCAGAATTTTTCCTCTCTATTCCCTTAATCCCAGCTCTCTCTCTCCCCAAGAAATGTTGGCTTTCTCAAATAGAAAAAGATCTACCCTTGATTCTCCCTCCTTTTTCCATTTTAGTCAATGAACCCATGTGAAAAGAGCTTTTCTCCCTGCTTAAAAATCTATGCAAGGCCCCACTTTTGAGGAACCACACAATCGCCCATGTTCCATAATCAATTTTTGTCTTTTAATGGATTTGGTTTGGTCAAAAAAGGTAAAAAATCAGAGCCTGACAGCTTTCGGGCACCTAGGATCCAGAACTGGGCCTCGGGGCGCCTAGGCATCAGGGTCTAGCCCGAATGACACCAATTTTTGCAAAAAATGCTCATGAAAGGGTTCTATGTAAGCCTTTGATCATGGGAGGCTATCTATGAATGAGATATAATCCTCAAACATTAAAATAGGCATCAACCATGTGCCAAATCAAAAACTAATGTCTACCAAGAGTGCTTACTTTTGGGCACGGCTTCCCCAACTTAGGCCCTGATTTCGTGCTTGAAGTATCCGCTAAAGTGTTTTTCGTATCCTTTGAGCTATTGGGAAGCTATGAATGAAAGGGATATGGTTTCATATCCATTCAAATGGACATCCCACATATGTGACATCAAAAATTAATACCAACATCACACTTGTTGCCCCCTTTGGGCTCACTTTTCAGCCCTAAGTTTACTGACATTATATGCACAGATATGGGAAGCAAACTATGTCTGGATGGATCAAGGATGGAATAACTGCTCTTTCTAGATATTACTTGAATAACTTTCAAGATGGCCTTCGACAGGTATTATATTCTCTCTCTCTCTCTTTCTCTCTATGCTGACTTTAAAAGTGCTTCAGTTAGTATTTTTGAAGACTTACAAACATACCACTGAAATCCTATGTATTTACACATCTAACATCCAAGCTTAAATTTTTTCATATTTTTCCCATGCATGGAATGCTTAAAGTTAAAATAGTGTTATTTTTGACCTGATATGAAAGATTTGGGCCGCGTAAATGTGAAAAAGTAAAATTTAGGTATTAGATATGTAAATATAGGACTTAGATGCTATGTATGTACATGCCCCTAATTATTTTTTTCAGCAATCTTATATTATTGTATTCCTCAGGACGCGCTAGATCTCATAAGTGGTCGCTATGATGCTAACAGAACTGGTCCTCCCTTCCAGCTCAAAGATTCATTTTCGGTAAATATTCGATCAATCATTAAACTTTAGAAAGATTTACGTAAACATCTCTTAATTCCTATGTATTTACATATCTAACACATAAAACTTCAATTTTTTACATACATGCCACCTCATCCATGCCGGAAAAGTTGTATTTCATTTTTGTTCATGAAATTTCTCGGTGCTATATATGTCGAAAGTAAAATTTTGGTGTTAGATATGTAAATACATAGGAATTGTTCTGGTACATATGTAAATCCCCCGAAACATTTTAAATGCGGGTAGGATTTTGTATATAATTTTTGGGGAGTATATTGGTCTTTTTGTTATTTTTGTCTTAATCCTACATGATCTTATTTGAGAAAATACTTGCAGTATGTTCCAGTTGCATCTGCTCTGATAATTGGAGGTCTTACTGTGACCTCGTTCTCACTGAATCAAGGTGCTAATATTTATATAAAAGATTTATATATATATTTCAGAGGAAATCGGTATTTGGCAGAGACCCAAATATCGATTTCTCATGCGCTATGCTTCATGATGACAGCTCGCGCAATGTGTCTAATTATTTGATAACCCAATGCCACTGGGGATCAAACCCATGACCTGAGGGGACTTACATTGAATCCCGTCAACCAACAGGCCACAGTTTGCGGCACATATATATATAACACGTGTTGCGTACCCCGCCCTATTGGTTAGCATCCATGGTATAAGATCCCTCATGTCGAGGGTTCGAAACTTCTCTGGCACAATTGGCCTTAAGGAGGTGATACTCAAACTGTTAGATACATTAGGGGTGGCTGGAGACTCATATAATAGCGTCTGACCATTCCTTTCTATTATATATATATATATCTGTATCTGTGTGTGTGTATACATATCTAACTCCTAAACTTACATACATTCCACCTTATCTAAGCATGAAAATATGTATTTCACATTTCAAAAGTTAAAATGACAATATTTCTGATGTGATTTGAAAGATTTCAGTTGTATAAATGTAAAAAAAAGTAAAATTAAGGTGTTAGATATACAAATACATAATATGTAAGTGCTGCTTTTTATACTTAAAATTATGATTACTTAACTATTTATATTTTTAAATTCTTTAATGAACAAAAATAGCAGGGCGGCCTCCGCAGAATTTTCTTTCCTCAGTTCTATTAGCAGGTTTGGCTGCTGGGGTTATGGCTGCAGTGAAGGCTAATGGAAGGCAGTTCTGCTCCAGACCTCGTCTTTGTGGCCCCTTCTGAACTTTCTCAAAGGTATAATTTGTGGTAATGTTGAATTTATAATACATTATTATATTGATTTAGGGTTAATTGTGATAATTAATATATTAAATTTGTTAAATATATTTTATGATGTCTATGTAGTCTGTTTATTAATGTATAATTCTTCAATTTGATTGTGAGGATTAAATTATTGCCCTTGGGTTTGTTTGATGTACTTTTTCTTAACTATTTTCAACAATTGTTACCTAACATAACATATATAATGCCTTTTACATGTCACTATATATATACGAGCCGAGCTTGAGCGAGCTCAGGCTAGGCTCGTGTTCGGCTCGTTCGAAATAGATAGTTTTTTAAATCGGCTCGTGAACAGTGTGTTGTTCGTGTTTGGCTCGAAATCGGCTTGTAAAAATAAAATTGAAAAAAAATAGATGTAAAATGTGAGATTCGAACTTGGATCAAATGTATATAAAAGAAAACATTAAATATATTATTACACGAGCTGTTATGATTTAAAGTTAGATATAAATATATATAATATATTGTTATACAAACAATATATGCAATATATATATATATATATATATTATTTTGAGCTAAAACGAGTCAAATAGGAGTGAACAAAGAACTGTTCGTGTTCGATTTGTTTATAATTCGAGCTTTAAAAATTTGTTCGTGTTTGACTCGTTTACTTAATATATATATATATATATATATATTAAAAGAATGGTTAGAGGCTATGATAAGAGACCACTACCACCCTTATGTACCTAACTACTCAATCCCCCGTTGCAAGGCAGTTGCACTCAGGTTGGCTCAAACCTATGACACCAAGGGACTAAGAATTAACTTCACAGATGTCAACCAAAGAGTCACGACGAGTGGCACACGTTGTTATATGTTTGATTAAAGATGTGTGGTAGATATGATATGAAAAAATTAGGTGATATAAACACAAAATAAAGTTTTTTAATTGAAAAGTGATTTAAGAGGATTTAAATATTGATATAATATAAGATAATATATGTTTATTTTTGGTTGTATGTTATTATTGGACATTAGTTTTTGAAAGTTAATATTTTATTTTTTTTTCTATTAAATTATTTTTAATGTTTTATTTATTTCAATATAATATATTTTATAATACTTTTTTTTAATTAATAAACCTGTCCCTTGTCCATGTCATTTTAGAAATATTTTGAAGTTTTGGACTCATTGTTTGCATGGAGCCCATTTAAAAGCATAACACTTGTTCATCAATATAGCAATTTAGTTATTTACATATCTAACTCCTAAAACTTCATATTTACATATATGACATCTATATTTACATATTTAACGCCTAAAATTAAATTTTCTACAATTTTTCTTGGAAGGGAATATAAAAGGAATATCAATGAGGATTATATGGGCTTTTGCCTAGTATATATTTTTAATGTTTTTGGACTCATTTTTCCTAATTGTTTTAGCCCATTAGATGAGTTAAAATGAGATTTATTTTTACCATTAGTAATTACAAAGATATGATCATAATTAATGCAAGGGAAGAAAAAAAGGTAAAATTCCTATTAATGCACATTAAAAACTTATAAAAATTCACGGATGACTTGTTTAGTCTACTCAATTGTAAAAGTGTCATTGTTAGCATTTTCGTTATTTACATATCCAGCGCCCAAAATTATGAAAAATTTTTACATCATGACTCCAATCAGGGTGTGTCGTGTGTATAGACAGCCCATTTATGTATTAAATTAAACATTTTTATTAATCTGGGTCTGTCTGTAGATGTGTCATACACTAATCGGAGTCGTGATGTAAAACTACATTAATATTCTTGTTGGATGTAATAATTTTTTCAAAATCATGAGCAAGATAATTCTTATATATTTACTGATGTAACCCTTAAAATTTTATATTTTTATACATTTCACATGTCTTTCAAATCATTGATATTAAGAAAAAAAATGTGGCTATTAAAAGTTTATTTTTAAAGTAATTCACATTTTCATGCATAATTTTTAATAAGTATAGATATGATGCATAAGAATTGTGGGGCATGTATGCTTTCTTTTATTTTATATGGGAGTATTTATTTACATAACATGAAAGATTTAGTGGGTAGAAATGTAAGTGTACATATGCAAATACATAGAACTTTGGTGGTATTTAGGTAAATTTCATCCTTCCTCTTCGTGGCACTTAAAGTCCTAACCCTAGAACAACGCAGTTCTAGTGGGTGGACAGGAGATCCCTGATCCTCCTCTCTTCCTCGCGGTCCCCTATAGAAACGAGATAGAGGGAGAAAGCGAAGGAATCAACGAGTGGCCATCCTTCGTGCCCTAATCTGCTCCCCCTCTCCCGCTTGATTCCCGGCGGAGAGAGGCGCAGAATCCCTAAATGGCGAGTCTTGTTCTCTCCCAATGCTGCGGACTGCGCCCTCTTCCGGCCGACATTCGCTTCCGGTCGAAGACTCGGTTACCTGTAGCAACCAATCTGAGCTTCATCCATGCCGGACACCGCCGGCCGATTCTCGCCGGCCGGTTCCTGCGAGATTGGGCGTTGAAGGTGAGCGCGCCGGCGAGACCGGTTTTGGTGGAGCGGCAAGAGGGGGTGGACGTGATTAGGGTTCGGAAGGAGGAGTTCGATCCCGGGATGCCGCCGCCGTTCGGGCTGGCGGAGATTCGGGCGGCGATACCCAAACACTGCTGGGTGAAGAACCCGTGGAGGTCGATGAGCTACGTTGTGCGGGATGTCGCAATCGTATTTGGACTCGCGGCGGCCGCCATGTACGTCAACAGCTGGATTGTTTGGCCGCTCTATTGGGCTGCGCAGGGGACGATGTTCTGGGCTCTGTTTGTTCTTGGCCATGACTGGTATGGTGATGATTTTATTCAAATTATGATCTCTTCTGTTGTTTTCTCTTTCCAAGTTTTGTTAGATTAGGGTTTATGGGTTGGTTTCTATGGAATAAAGAGGGGATTTGGGCAGTGGGCATGGGAGCTTTTCGAACAGCTCGAGGCTGAATAATGTGGTTGGTCATATTCTCCATTCCGCCATTCTCGTGCCCTATCATGGATGGTGAGTTTCTTCTCCCAGTTTAGTTTGTTTTCTTCTCCGGGAGTCATTTCTTGTTTAATAGCAGAAATGGAATTGAATTTTTTTGTTCAGGAGGATAAGCCACAGAACTCATCATCAGAACCATGGCCATGTTGAGAAAGATGAATCCTGGCACCCTGTTAGTATTTCCCAAACTTCATTCGATTGGGGATAGTTTCCTTCTTCGTCTGCATTTTGGTTGATGCTTTTGTTTCTTTTCTTGTTATTTCTGCAGCTTTCTGAGAAAATTTACAGGAGCTTAGATTCAGCAACAAGGATGCTTAGATTCACATTGCCATTTCCAATGCTTGCCTTTCCCATCTATCTGGTCAGAAACTTCACCCAAATTTGTAAACTTTCAGTGAAATTTGGGTTCTTTCTAGCTAAATTGATGGCTTTTTCAGTGGGGACGAAGTCCAGGGAAGAATGGATCACACTTCAACCCTGAGAGTGATCTTTTTGTTCCCAATGAAAGGAAAGATGTCTTAACTTCTACTGCTTGTTGGATCGCCATGGCTTCTTTGCTGGCTGGACTAACCTGGTTCATGGGTCCTCTCAAAATGTTTCAGCTTTATGCCGTTCCTTATGGGGTTTGTTCTTTCTGCTTATTGCTTGCCTGAGTTGTTCTCCATGCCGGAGTGATTTAATACTGTGCCGTGAACATTTTTTTTTCTTCTTTAATTACAGTTATTTGTTACATGGCTGGACCTTGTGACTTATTTACATCACCATGGACATGAAGAAAAGCTTCCATGGTACCGGGGAAAGGTAATATCTTTCTCTCCTGATCCTTGGAATTTTTTTCATTCTTCTGGTTGACATTTGTTTGTCCTTGCTTATAAATTTTCATAGCTTTATCTTTTGCTTTTTCATCTATGATTCCTTTTAGTGGTTGATTTTAGGGGAATTTGCATACATTCCTTCCACCCAATTCTTTATATTTTTGTATCTAACATCTAAATCTTACCTTTTATATTCATACCTAACAAATCTTTCTTACCATATAAAAAATGCCAACATTTTTATCTTGGAAGATTTATATACATACCACTTAATTCCTATGTATTTACATACTAACAAGGCCTAAATTTCAATTTTCACTTATTCCCCCCTTGAAAACATCTATTTTACTTCGTAAACGTTAAAAAAGTGGTATTTTTGATGTGATATGAAAGATTTGGGTTGTATAAATGTAAAAAAGTAAACTTTAGGGTCCTTCTGCCAATGCGTTTAAGTGGGACTTAACTTAAATCTACCAAGCAGAAGAGAACTGCAAATTTTAAATTCTGGATCTAGTAAATCCAGTTTCTTCTCCATTCCTTGGTTGTCAGAGAATCTAGATTTATAGGATTTACTAAAGCTGTTACCGGACAACTCATTGATATGATTTTGAAATACTTTCCATTGAATCGACCTACTGAGAGTTAAGTTTTAATGGTCGGCCATGGCTTCTAGGAGTGGAGTTATCTTCGTGGAGGGTTGACGACACTCGATCGTGACTACGGTTTGATCAACAACATCCACCATGACATTGGCACTCATGTGATTCATCACCTCTTTCCCCAGATCCCACACTACCATCTTGTAGAAGCTGTAAGCACTACCACTACATCGAAACCATTTCAACAATTTCTTTTTTACTGCTTACTGAGGTCTCTCTCATTTTCTTCTGAAACAGACAATGGCGGCGAAGCCAGTGCTCGGAAAGTACTACAGAGAGCCGGAGACGTCGGGGCCGCTCCCTCTTCACCTCCTCAGAGTTCTGTCTAGGAGCTTGAAGAAAGACCATTATGTCAGTGATTCTGGAGACATTGTGTATTATCAGAAGGATCCTGAGCTGGTTCCTCTTCTTCTCCAAAAGTCTAACTGAGGCTGAAGATGGCAATAGGAAAGCAGCCCTCCATTGAACCAGCACTCATTTTTTTCCTCTCATCTCAGCATTGTGTAGGAAGCTGTAAGAGAGATGCTGCAGGCTTATGATTGTTAATTTGGCCATTTTATTTTTAGAACCAGTGTATTATTATCATTCATGCTGGAGTGTATTATTATGATCATCATCCAGCTCTCTGGTATAATAAAAATGAATTTAAGTAGATTTATAAATGATGTAATGATCCTTATTTTTTATTTTTAATTATTTTCTTAGGCCAAAAATGCTTTTATATGTGTATGAATTTTGGGGGAGAATGAATGACTTTTGCTTATTCATTTATTGTACAACATGTGATGCACTTTGCATCAATTTCTTTCATTGTAAGTAGGGTTGTAAAAAGCCGAGTCGAGTCAAGTTGAGTCGAGTTGGACATTGCTTTAGCTCAAGCTCGTATATAAAAAATATCTTCAAGCTCAGCTCAAGTTCAAAATTGTTTTGAGTTTGGTTTGAGCTCGATTGGAGTTTGGTTCATTTTGTGATTAATTTTTGAACGAATATATCAATGGGAAGCATGAACATGGTATTATCGTGTTGGAGAAATTATTACGTGTGGAGACTTGTCGTTTGGATGACTGTTTTGATGGCCTTTCAATGAGAGTCACGACAGTGTGGTCGCATTTGAATCATTTTTTGAATGTGGTCAGTCGTACGTAATAATTTTTCTAGCAAAACTTGCGCCCTATGATTAAAATTCACCACCTAATTCAAATATTATAAAAGAAAGTAGCCACATTTACATGCCTACAACCCAATTCTTATGTATTTACATATCAAACATTTACATTTTATTTTTTACATTTATGTCCCCCAAATCTTTCATATCATATCAAAGTATTACAATATTAATTAATTTTTAAATTCATTTATATATAATATGTCATGCCTTAAAGTTAGAATTTAGTTGTTAGATATGTAAATACTTGAGAATTGAATGGTATGCATGTAAATATTTTTTAAAAAAGTCCTTTTATATTTAATTTTATTTGAGCATTTTAATACATTTCTAAAAGTAATATAATATTATTAAAAATTTTAATTATTTGATCAAATAATTATCAAACAACCCTTGCAAACAAAGCCATAAAATAAACAATTAAACTTTGGGTTCATTTGTAAGTATTTGTGAATGGTGGCAAAACAATTCATGTCTATCACTAGGGCTATCAAAAAAGCTCATTGTTCGTGAACAGTTCATGTTCGGTTCGTTCGATAATTAAACGAGTCGAACATGAACAAATTTGTTATTGTACGAAATATTAAATCATTTAAAATAATTATATATATATATATATATATAATATATAAGTTATATAATTAATATAATATATTATTTATATATATATTAATATTAGAGATGTCAAACTGGCTCATCGTTCTCGAGCAGCTCGTGTTCGGCTCGTTCGTTAAGAAAAGAACACGAACAGTAACTTCACGAGCAATTTCGAACACGAGCTTATTTCAAATAAAACTAAATTTAAAACAAACCGAACACGAACAATAGCTATGCTTCATTCATGTTGGGTCCCTTTACACCCCTATCACGAATTTTATTTGATATTTACATACAAACCACACCATCATTATCTATTTGCATTCTCCTCTACTTTACAGACGTAGAATACATCTATACATGCAAATAAAAAATGTACAAGTATAAATATAAATATAAAGGTTATGTAAATACATGAGAATTGAATGGTGTATATGTAAATTTTTATATTAAAAAAAATAAAAAAATGGTGGCAACCAGGCATGTGCGGCAACTCCACACGTCAGTTGCGAGGAAATGTAGCAGCAGTGGCAGTACTTGACATAAAGGAGTCTGTGACTACAGTTTTCTCCATCCCTTTGTCTGGTCATCCATTCTTTCTCGTGGAGCATTTTAGGCCATAAATGATAAGCAATGATTTCAATGATTCAGCAGCAATGATATACCTAATTGTTGGAGCTCTTATTCTGTGCGGACGACGCACGCGACGGCGCACATATTTCACGTGTGCCGTCCAATAAAAAAAAATTTTAAATTGGGTCTATTGACATACACTTTTTTGGTAAAAGAAGAGTTTTTATTGGCCCACCGCACGCATCTCTGCGTGCGGTAGGCGGACGCAATAATTTTACTAATTGTTGAGGCCATTGGGAGCTCAATATAAATAATGTAAGTGAGCTAAGTTGGCTTAATGTTGACTCGCTAAAAGGCTCACGAGTTGAGTTGGTTGAGTAAATAGATTGAGTTGAAGTTTTTTGAAGCTCGTCTTATGAGCCGGCTTTTTACCTCGAGATATTACTCATGTGGATGCCTTTGTCATTGAGTTCTCATGATAAATTCATGTTTGGCCCGACTCACAGACCAGCTGACCATTTTGCTCGACTCAAGCTCAAGTTCGAGCTCATGGTTTGATGTGTGAGCCAAGCTGAGTTAAGCATGATTCAAGCCAGACTCAGAGTAATATACACCACTTAATTTATTTGAAAATAGAAAACAAAATTGAAGAACGATTTATGTAATTATAATATCTAATTTTTATTTTTCTCACGTATTTATGTATTTATAAACTTTTTAAAGTTTAAAATAGTAGTTTTTTTTATTTTATTTTATGTGACATGAAAGATTTGGATGGTAGATATGCAAAGAAAATTAAATTTAGGTGTTAAATATGTAAATACATAGGAATTGGGCGGAAAGTGATAGCCCCATATGACTTTTTTATTATCTTTTCTTATTAATAAATCTCGAACAATTAATGTATTCTTTAGTGTTGAAAAATTAAGGCGAAAAAAAATAGGAATCAATACAAATCTAGAAGAACACAAAGAGATTTAATGAGGTTCGACAAAGATACCTATATCATTAGAAGCAGAGCGGCGACTTTTCCGCTAATTAAGAAAAAGAGTACAGGATGCAGAATATGAGATAAAACCTATGGTTACATACAGACCTATAACCCTAGAAAATCCTGGCGTACAACATGTAATTGCCAAATTATCCCTGTACTGCACCCCCCAACTCACATAAGGAAACTTTCTTGATTTGTTGGACAAAATCTTCCGCTCCGCTCCGTTCTAGCATCTGTCCCTTATATGATATATGAGTCATATCTAGGGTTGTAATCAAGTCGAGCTTGAGCGAGCTCAGGCTTGGCTCGTGTTCGGCTCGTTCGAAATAGCTCGTGTTTGAAATTTGCCCGTGTTCAAAATCAGCTCGTGAACAGTGTGTTCGTGTTCGGCTCGAAATTTGCTCGTTAAACTAAAATTGAGAAAAATAGATGTAAAGTGTGAGATTCAAACCTGGGTCAAATATATACAAAAGAAGACACTAACCACATTGTCACATGAGGTGTTATGATTTAAACTTAGACATAAATATATATAATATATTATTATATAAATAATATATGTAATATATTCTTATATAAAAAGTTATACAATTTTTTTATTTCGAGCTAAAACAAACTGAACACGAGCGAACAAGGAGTTGTTCGTGTTTGACTTGTTTTCGAGCTTAAAAATTTGTTCGTGTTTGGCTCGTTCGTTAAGCCTAACGAGCCGAACACGAGCTGCTTAACGAGCCGAACACGAACTGTTCACGAACAACGAGTCAAATTGACAGCCCTAATCATGCCTAACATTTAGTTAATTAAATTGTTTACGTCGTTGGATCAGATGGCAACGGACGAAAATGACAAATGGCACCCACTTAGCACTGGGACCCCGTCAATTTTGTCAAATCACACGCACCTCTAATTTGAAACAAATTTAAATAACATTTTATTTCCAAGGGGCAAAATTAAAATTAATATTTCAATAGGCATTTACATATATACCACACAATTCTTATCAAGGATATTTTACCCGGCGATCCTTCGGTCGCGATGACGCTCGCGGCTATTTCTCATTTCGGGCGATGATTACGACGATAACTCCTCGGTGATTCTTCGGCTCCAACAGGTTTGGTTCAATGTGCGAGTAAGGAAACCGTCGTATTTCAATCTCGCCCGACTTCTATGTTGTGCTCTTTGATTTACATTCGAAACAACTTTTTATGAAAAAAATGATTTTGGAGATTTTACGTGTTAATAAACGTTGGAGCTTGGACAGAAGCTCATTACTGTTGGGTTTTATGCCAGTACACATAGACAACAGGGGAACTAGCAGTGGGTCGTCGAAAGACCTCGTTATGCCCATGTAAGTAAGTATTTATAGCCTTATGTAGAGTGTTATTTATCATTAGGTTTTACTTATGTAGGATGACTAGAGTAAATCGCAGCAGTCAGTCTCATTCTGACTACTATGACTTTTGAGATTTGGAAGGAAGCTACTTAAAAAAAAGAAAGGGAAGGTTTATGGCTTGGGCACACCAAGCACTCCCATTCAAATTAGAGTTTGTCATCACCTGTTGATGATATAATTTCCGAGCACCAACTTCAATGTTGAGTTGCATGCTAGAGATGCCTGGGTCGAGAGGCTCGAGGCGACCAACCGACCCACTATTCAAATTGACAATTTTATGTGTTTGACAACAAATTGGATTTGATACTCGAAATTAATTGCAAAATTAATTGCTTTTAATTTCTTATCTATATTTTTCTACAGTTTTTCTTGCATGAATCCTGTCATTTATGATTTGCTGCAGAAAAAAAAAAGAATATAATTAATGGACATCATTAATTATTTGATTAATTCTTTAATTGACCTAATAATATGATGAAATTAATAAATATGCATGCTACAGCTTCCCTTGAAATTTCTCTTGGGATTTGGTTTCTCAGGCTTCCTCTTCGGCATTGGTAGCTTTCCAATTTATTCTTCTGCTGTGCTTCGGTTGAAGCTCTTGGGTAGAGAGAGAGAGAATGATAGGAGGAGAGTAGAGGAGACGGAAAGATTTAGAAAGAAAGTGTTTCCTTGTAATCGTCGAGGTGATCAGCGGGTGTAATTCCTCAAGCTAATAAAATCTTTTGCAACTCTGTGGACGTAAGCAAATTGCCGAACCACGTAAATCTGTGTGTTTCCGCTGTATTTTTTATTTTGTGAATTTCTCGTTCTAATTTCGTTTTATTGTCATCGTTTTTTCATAACAATAAGGAGCTACAACAAAACATACGTCACTCTGTCAAACATCCTTCGAGTGACGTGCAAGAGGGGGAGATCGAGGATGAGTGCGAGGACCACTATGCATTTTTTTTTTTCCTTTATATTTGCATATTACGTGGTATGTCATTCGCAAACATATTGGATGTTACATTGTAAGGCATTCTTAAGTCATATCTTGCTCATAATAAGAACCCATAACAAGCTTGATTTGAAATGCCATTAAGAGAGGAGTCAAAAAGCATGTGTTAGACATATGATTGGGAAAGGATCTAATATCATTCCGCTTTGTGGGGATCATTTATTTTATTTTATATTTATAATGAATAAAAAATATAATATTTGAGCATACATATTACTTGATCCTCACTCTAAGTAATGATTCATCTTATATATTTGCCTATAATAAGTGTCTCTTTATAGATCTTTCTTCCCATTCTACAAAACAAGAAAGACTTGTTAATGGTACACCACCGGTCCCATGGTGCCTCCTTAAGTCACAAATGCCGGCCATTTATCCCCCCAGTGAGATTATAACGCTTCAGCCCTGACCGCTGACCACTGACCCGTCTTCTCCTCTCTCATCTCTGCCCCCATCTCTTGTCTTCTTCCTCCAGCCATGCCCCCACCCAAATAGTTCGCCCCCTGAAAGAACAAAAACATCTCCTTTCATCTCTCTCTCTCTCGAATCCCTTCCTTACTCTCCTCCTCTTTAGCTTCCTCTCCAATCCCAAAGTGTGAATGCCAGACCCTCTTGGGCTCCACATGGAGCCCATCACAGCCTTACTTTTTCCGGACAGCAATCACTGAGACCCTTCTTTTCTATCACGTCACCTTTGTTCAAAAACAGATCCCGCTCTCTCTTCGTCCCCCTCGTTGGCTTATCTTCCGTCCACATTCCATTCCCTCCTCTTCAAAAAATTCATTCTTTGACATCAGGGAATGCTGATTCGTTGAAACGAGTGAGAAAAATCATTTCTTTCTTCTTTTGCGGCCGTTTGCTGAAATGAGAGTTGCCGCTCCCCCTCCGTTTGAGCTGGGCTCCGGTCGCCGTGAAGCTTCCGGCTGCATCACCGGGGTTCTGCAACGGATTCTCTGCAGGAATTTGCGAGAAAGGAGGTTTGCTGATGAAGAAGAACAAGTCGTTGGGTTAAGAAAGGAGGAGAGAGGGAAATCTGAGGCCGGTGCGCCGGCGAGCTCTAGCCCGGGAGTGGTGGCGCGGTTGATGGGGCTTGAATCTTTGCCGGCCTTCCCTTATTCTCAACCTGAGGCCATATCCAGAACCCGGTCTGCTAACTCTGCAGAGCCATGGAAGGGTTCCGGGATTCTCGGCGAGCAGAAGTGCGGCATTGCTGGTTCAGAGCTCCGGAAATCACAGTCTTTCAGGGAGGTTCGCTCGTACTTGAGGAAGGAGAGCGAGGAGTTTCTGGTTTTGAGTTTTGGCGATTATGACGAGTGCGAAGCTTCGGAGCTGAATGATAAAAAGAGGGATTTTTGTTCTGAACAGTGTACTACGAAGGTGAACAGAGCGGAGAAGAAGAAGTCAAGAAATAAGAGTTTCGTCAATTCCGCAGAGATTGTTCTGAATGATTTGAAGAGCTCTGTTCCTCCATTTGTAGATCACATTTCTATTTCTGAAACTGAAATTGCTGAAAGAAGCTCGTCTTGTAGAAAGAAGATATCTTTTGGTCAGAGGGAACTGGAAACGGATTGCGGCTCTCAGAATTCCAGTCCTGTTTCAGTTTTGGATCTTCCTCTCGTTGCAGATGGCGATTGTATCACCAGCCCGGATTCCTCCATTACTGGTAACGCAAAAATCAAATTTTTATCATTTTTTTCTGTTTGCGTTTCAATCTTTATGCATTGATAAAGTTAGCATTTTTATCTTAAGTTTGTAAAGTTTCCATGGTGTCCGAGGAAGAGGACTCAAGGAAGAAGGTTTTGTTGGAGGTTGAAGATGATTGCAGGAAAGCAGGGAGGTGTGGCTTAGCAGCACAAGATTTGCCGGACATTTGGGCGCTCATTTGCAGTCTGGCAGGGGATGATCTGAACAATTCAAAGTGGGCTCAAGCGAACATTGTCAAATCTGAAGAAGCTGAGGAGATTGGGTTTGTGGTTTGGCAGCACATGTTGGAGATTCTTCTGAACGAAGCCATATTTGAAATGTTTTATGAGTGCAGAACTGTATATTGAATTGAAAAAAAATAAAATCATAAAGAAAAAGTACTTTTTTTTTAATCTTGCAAGAAGAAAAATCTAATCTTTACTGATCTTATCTAAACCGCTTGGTTTGTGATGAAATTAAAAATATATGTTTTTGTTTTTTAGTTGGGTTTAGCATTCTATGAATTTTCAACATATACTGAGACAGGGCCTTATGTGCTCCAAGGAGGGGGTGCCACGTAGGCAATGGTCCCACCGTGGTGCCTACGTGGCACCCCTCATTGGAGCACTGATGCATCAGTACTCCTGAGGTAATATTTTTTCTTTATGAATAGCTCGTTGTTCGTGAATAGTTTATGTTCGGCTCGTTAAGAAGCTTACATTCTATTCATCCGCTAAAGTAAACGAGCCAATCACAAATACTTTTTTTGTACTCGATATTTAAACGGGTTGAACACTAACAAAGATTTATTGGTTAATGTTCGGCTCATTTTTGCTCAAAATACCACTCATCAATTATATATATATATATATATATATTGATTAATAGTATTTTTAAAAATTTGAATTGACTACAAAAATTTATAATCAATTAAATTTATTAATTTAAAAATAGAATAAAAATATGATAAATTATATTTAAAAGATTTTTTAATATAAACAATAAGAGTTAAATCTTACCCTAATCATTAACATCTTACGGCTGTGTGATTAGGGTTATCAAAATAACAATTTGTTTGCGACCAGCTCTTAAACAAACGACCGAACACGAACACACTTTGGTGTTCGAAATATCAGATTAGTGATATTTTTTAACGAGCCGAACACGAGTTGAGCTTGTTCTCGCTCGTGTTCGCCTCGTTTATACCCATATACAGAGATATTTTGAAAAGGAAGAAAGAATCACAGGGCTTAGCCTAGTTAAAATAATTCATTATATAATTGTGAGTGCATAGGTTCATTCTTCTCCTGGATTAGGGAAGATTAAGTTTTAAAGTTGTACAATTATAACTTATTTATAATAGTTGTAATCTGATTGTAATGAATATAGTTCTCGGTGATAGCATGTTACAAAGGCTGTAGTTGATTGTTATACATGCAACGTCTCGAGATTCATGCAGGATGATGGAGTTTGTTGATGGTGTATAGAATTGTGAAGTATATAAATAAGTTTTGAATGATGGGTTAATTTTGGATTTTATGTATGATACAAGAAAGCTACATAATGATTGAGAATTGAATAGTTGTTTTTCAGGATGCCAAAATTATTTTTATTTAGTTATATTATGTAGATTAGTTATTCGAAAGATGGTTTCTTTTTTTTTTTTTTTTTTACAATTTTTTAAATCAATTATTAAATATTATTTAATTTGTAAAGTCTTATGAAATATTATAAGCTCAGTTTTACACATAAAAAATGAAAAATTAATTTCGTTTTTCAATATTAAAAAAAAAAAAAAATTAAAGTAATAGTTTGAATTAGAGCAAACTGATTAAAATGTAAAGTAGTTATGGATCTATCGCTTTGAATTATGAATGTTAAAAATGTGTTCCTCATGAAGACCGACCTGAGGAAATTGACCCTCGGGTTGTTTGACAGATATCTGATGAGAGTAATCATATCATTTACAAACTTCAAGAGAATGTTTATAACACATTTGACGAGTGACTAAAAGCCCCAAAAATAGTTCATTTACCTGTGGTAGATCAGGCTTGGGCAGAGCGAGAGCCGCTTGTCACCTCCCAAAAAAGCCCTTAAGAGAGGTGGGCAGCCCAGGACTTAAATACTGTTTTTCGGCTCTACACCTAGCCAATATGGGACTATTTGTCCGTGGCACTCTTCTCCACCCATTCATGTGACGCCCTCGTCACGGATCAACTGCACCGAGGGTCCCACTTGACCATGGAGAGTCCACACACCTGACAGGAAGTAATCTGCTCTGATACCACTTGTCACCTCTCAAAAGAGCTCTTAAGAGAGCTTGGCAGCCCAGAACTTAAATAATGTTTTTCGGCCCTACACCTAGCCGATGTGGGACTATTTGTCCGTGACACGCTGCTCGTTCTATCACTTGATTCCAGAAAAAGATGTTGGAGATGCAAGTTAAGGTACCCGCAGTAGGCCGAAGGGTTGAAAGAATGTTTGATAGTGTCAAGAAATTTATTTTATTTGAAAAGAGAGTAATGAGCAATATAGAGGGTTCTTTTGTAAATAAAAATTATTAAAATCCTTACAAGAGAAGATTAGTTTCCCTTGGAACGATGCGTTCACCACTTACTGTGGGAGAATATTTAGAAAGGAAAGAAAAGGTAAATTTACATAGATACCCCACAGATCTTATATATTTACATAGATACCACCTAAACATTCGTATTTACATTTATACCACTCAAATCCTTAACATCACATTAAAATTGCCATCACCATTATCTTATTAAAGGTTATAATACTCCATTTCAGGTGTTAGATGTGCATAATAATTGTATGTAAATACATAAAAATTAGGTTTTTTTATGTAAATGAGCTTTTTCTGTTTATTTAAATTTTGATGAGGACAGAAATAGAACTTTTTTCAAATAATCCACCGCAGCTACTCGCCCATTTGGACTGATTCAATATACCAGAGTTATTAATCTTATCAAAGTCGTATTTTTTATGGTATTTAAATAAAAAATTGCAATGTTACCGCCCAATAGTAATTAATTCTTTTCCAAAAAAAATGATAGTTAGTTTGTAAATATGGAGCCGACTTGTTCGTGTTCGACTCGTTTATATTTCGAGCTAAAAAAGTGTGTTCGTGTTCGGTTCGTTTGCTTAGCGAGCCGAATACAAGCCGTTCACGAACAAAGAGTCATTTTGACAGCCATAATCATGTAACCATCAAATGTTAAAAATTGGGGCAAGATTTAAAACATCACTTGAATCTAATTTAATAATTAGTATTATATTTTCTTCATTAATACTTTTAATTGATTATAAATCTTTGTAGCTTTGTAGTTAATTAAATTTTTTATACTACTCATAAAATATATATATATATATAATTGATTAGTAGTGTTCGGCTCGTTAACTTAGCAAACGAGCCGAACACGAGCTGTTCGTGATCAACGAGTTGTTTTGACAGCCCTAATGTTACCCACCCAAAGTTTGGAAAAATTATTCTATACGGCAGAGATGCATACAGTGTCTGATCTCCACCGTCGATCACGGCGAAATATACGACGGTGAGCCCTATCTTAACTTTCTATTAAAAAAGATTGTTGTGATGGACAGTAGAGATCGGACACCGTATGTACCAGTATATAATAATTTTTCCAAATTTTGACGAGGTGATATTTGCAATAAAAAAAAGAAAGAAATGTGTGTTACGGGTACTTGATTTTTGCATAAAAAATGTGCATGCAGCTAAATTCTTAATATGAAGATAATATGTAAATTATAAAATAAAGAGATAAATTAATAAACAAAATAATAATCTCCAATGAAAAATCCAAGATTTATTTTGAATTTTTTTTTTTTGGGGGAAGATTTAAATACATACCATTCAATTCGTATGTATTTACATGTGATTCTCTTGATTCATAACAAGCTTTATATTAAATAAGCACGACTAGCTTAAAGTTTCGATCGAAAACATTTCGATCCAAAATTTTGGCTCGTTACTCGGCTCATTTATTTCGATCTGAGCCAAAATTCTCATCAATTTTCGAGCGATTAAAAATCTTCGATTTAAATTTTTTAAATTCATATCTCTAATATTAGTGAGAATGTTAACGATATGATTTCGACCCGAGCAGGGATTGGCTCAAAATCGGCTAAAAAAAAATCGAACCAAAATTTTGGCTCGTGGCTCGGTTTGTTTATTTCGATCCGAGTTAAAATTCAAAACAACTTTCGATAACAATCTCCAAGCTAAACGTCACTCGTGTCCAAAGCTACCCTTCCCCTTCCCCTAAACCTTTAATCATACATAGTTATTGGATTTGTAACTTAATATAGGAGCTTTTTACCCACATATACCCTCCACAAGTATTGGATTAATCCTTAGATTAAGTGATTCAACCAATTTATCTTGGCCCTAGACCCAAGCCTAGGGTTGTCTAATATTTTAATAAAAATAAAATATTATAAATTTTGGGCTATTTATGGAGCTCTTGTTGATTACTTTATTTTTTTTACATTAAATATATTAAGATACATTAAAATATGTTTCATAAGTTTAAAATTTATGCATCAATCCATCAACTATGAGGCTTGAATCTTCAAATTAGTACAAGCCAATCACAAACCTTCAATATGTGGATTATTATTTTGTTAAACTTGAAATAAGTCCTTAATATCCATTAGTGGGTGTTTTCTAAATAATAATATTATTTACTTTTAGGAATGATGCATTATTTATAAAATAATTCTTTCTCATCTAACATACTAAAGTAATTCATATCTATGGAGGCAAGTAAATCATACAAAACCTCTTTAGCTTGTAAGAAATATTTAAAGATTTGTTTTTTTTTTTCTAAACTTTTATGTGATACAAAATATGATTGTAGTGGATGGCCTTTGGTAAGATTATTGGCTAGAAGTAGTTATGGATCCTTAGATTAATATCTGAGGATGGGTTGTAGAGTTTTTAGTGTAGTGGTGAGTGGTTTAGTGGTGTATATTAGCGAGAATGCCAAGACAAATTTAGTTTTGGCTAATTGGGATTGATTCAGGAAATCATTTTAGATAATATATATTAAGTAGTCTAAATGGCAAGAATTTTTTGACTATGGTTAGATTAGGATGTTAACCCATAATATGGAGTGGATACTAAACTTTCGTTAAATCTAATGGAGTTTTAAGGTATAAGAAATGTAACTAAGCCTGAATTTCCAAAATTTGATTGAGAAACTCAAGGAGGGAATCAGAGTGAAAGAAAGGTTTTGATTACTAGATAATCAGTTTTGAAGAATTATTATACAGTGAAAAAAGAGTTGGGAAGAGTATATAATTTAAGTTAGATAGGATTAGTAAGCAATTTAAGAGAAACATAAGGATAACTACCTAACTCACACTTCTACACAAAATACATGAAGCCAACAAGCTTCAAATGAATTAAAAATGCATATTTACAAAAATATTTAATTCATTAATTAAAATTTAAAAGCATTTTATTTCGTACTTATAAATACAAGATGGAACTTAGGCTAACACTTTTTAAGGAAAAATTAGAAGAAAAGAAACATAAAAAGTGGGTTTAGTGACTATTTGTAAAGGAGAAGTTCCAATTGCTTTTTTTAATGCATTCTTCGTTCTAAAATATGTCAAAACCTGGAATACAAGTTTATAGTTGAAATTTTAAAATAAAAGAATTAGCAAAAGGGCTCTTCATCACGCACTTAAATTTAGTTATGTCTATTATTAGTTTTCTTTGGTTTAGAATTTGATCCTGTAATTAGACCCTTAGCTTGATTCTCTTGATTCATAAGTTGTTTTATATTAATAAGCACGACTAGCTTAAATTTAACTAGACATTAATAAAACCCTCCATGATTAAAGACTGATGTATTAATATTCCTCACCAGCCCTTTTATTTTGTCTTAGAATAGATTGGACCTAAGTTGAACCTTCATTGATCTCGATAAATCCTAATTGGATTCTTTGTGAGCCTTTGGAATCAATTATTGTGATTAACAAAATTATGTTTAGCCTCCTACCCTATAACCATGACACCCCCTCCCCCAGCCCACAACACACACACACACCCTTTATCTGAGTGTATAAATGAGTGTATAAACTCATTGGAAACTTAGACACATGGATTTAGTCCTTATTGAACATAAACCTAGCTTGAACATAGATTAAGTCAACATTTAGCTCAATTACTTCATGATTTGACCAATTGACTATTTTTGCTTAATTTAGGTCAGTCCAACTTATGGAATTATTATTTTTTAAATCTAAGTACTATTAAACATTAAAATATTTAAGAGATCAATTAAGTCTTCCTTAAAGAAATTAATTAAACACAATAAAACTAATTAGCTAAGCCCAACCCTTCCATAAGTAACCTAAAATCTCTAATTAAGCAACTTAGATATGTTAAACCCTTTCTAGAATAAATAAAGATATTAACCTAAATTGATAATTAAAATGTCAAGCTAGGTAGTCATGGAATTAAAGGGGTTTCTTTCTTAAATCAACTCTAAGACATATTTTCTAAGCTCTTATGCCTTTTATGGAATATAAACTTTATTATAGTTAGCATGATATCCACATACATTTCTCTAATATCATTAAACTTGTGAAGAGACTTTTGAAGGGATTAAGCTAACTACTAAACCATTTCAACAAGTTAGTCCAAAGCATCACATTAATTTCTTAAGCAAAGAAAGCTCCCTAAGTGTTTCCAATTATGTTGTGGTAATCCGCAATAAGGCCTAATTAGAACTAAGAGCATTCACCCTATAAGATTACCTTTTTCCCCTACTTCTTAAAGCTCATTTCTTGCTCCATTAGCTCCTCTCAACCAAAAAGAGATAAAATAAGCATTTAATTATATGTGGGGCACAATAAACTCCTTCTCGATCGTCCTAACTTAAAAAATGATAACAGAATGACCAATAAATCAACCAAGAAAAGTCAAAAGGAGAAAACCTAATTAGAACTTCGTTTCAATGTGATGAAGCCCTTAAATTGATGGAAGGCTAGTCATAGCTCTAGCCTAAGTAAATTGATTTAGAATCTATAGGATTCATAATGATAAAGGCAATGAATTGATTAATTTTCCCATGGGATGTCATGGATAGGTTATATGGGTAGAACAAAAAAAGGGTGCTTAGGATTTAGACAAATTTGAGACTAACCCTTGTAAGCTTTAATAATTAATCTTACATAAAAATAAGAATGATGAACATTAAATAAAAGGTTTATGATGTTAGAAAACTAATGGTGGTGATTTTTTAGATTTTCGACCAATTAACAAGTCATTATAAAGTTTTTAAGGCAGTTTCTCATCACAAAATATCATCTCTATGTATTAGTACTTCACCTAGCTTATTTGGGGTTAATTGATGCAAAGCAATAAGTGTAATGAGAGAATGATTAGGATAGATATAAGGGTATTTGAGGTGTCAAGGGTGAAGGGAGGTACAAATTTAGGTTTTTTTAAGTCTTATATACAATTTACATACAATAACTTATGACAAACCTAAATCCTAATTGATGAGAAGCCAAGTTTCACTAATGATCAAATAACCCCCCAAGTTTTTTCATACAAAATTGAATAACTAGAATAAAATTTTTATTCAATAGAATTATAATTACTAAGCATGACATTATTTATTAACTTTTTCAAGCTTAATAAGTTAATAATGTCATCACAGCAAATAAAATACTAATCACATGGACTAAAATGTTGTATTTTTAGCAAATAAAATGTAGTATTTAAAAAATATATATATACTTTCTTTAATTTTGAGTTAAAAAGAGCTAAACACAATCATAATTAAAGCTTAAAAGAATGATTAGGGAAGGGTAAGGAAATCAGCACATCAGTAGAGATTCATGCAAACAAGCAGCTTTCTCCAAACGTCTAAATTTAATGATATATTCAACAACTATGAATGAAAGAACAAGCACAGGCAGCCTCCACGCAGTTCAGATTCCCCCCTTCGGGCATTCCTATCTTCATCTATAAGAGGCAGCCGCTGAAGAACATAAATATAATGGATTGAGAACAAGATGAAAGAAAAAATAACAAAAAAATTATAACAAATTAGCTCCATAACTATCAGTATCCATCCATGGCTTCCCAGAAGGACCCTTATGCTGATGCTTCTTCTACTACTCTTGCGCAGTGACTGGAACAACAATGTTATTGGCTGCGTTTCCCCTGAAGTTAAAAGACGCAGACTTTCTCAGCTTGTTCAGCTCATCTTCTTGTATCCCCCAATCCAGCTTCCCCTTGGGGGAACCCCAATCAGATAGACCAAGAGAAGAGGTTGTGCATGCTGATATCGGCGGCGGAGCAGCGGCGGAATTGCGAGCAACGGCGGCACGATCAATGAAGCTCTGGCTTCTCTTCGCAAAGCCGGGCTGCCGGGAGTTCAGGATAGCCTTCGCCATGGAATGTTCAAGCCCGTAAGGCGAGGAAGTGACAGTGGGGGAAGAAGGTAAGCTGCTCCCATAGCCAGAGAGCAGCTGTTGGGTCATGCTTTGGTTCATTTGCAGCCCGGTGGCAGCACTGGTTGCCTGCTTCAACGAAAGACTCTGCAATGGGGAAAGCATGGAGGAGTCCAGAGATCCAAAGAGATCACTGTAATCTGTAACACGCGAAGCGACGGAGCTCAAGGAGCCAGCTTTCCAGTTCGAGCGAGGAGACGATAAGCTTGACATTTCATCAAGCAGTTTTTGCTGGTAACCATCGAGTCCGAGCAAATCGTTATCATAATCAAAATCTCTTGCGCTCAAAGTTGATTTCAACCTGCTGCTTGGAAGCTGTAAAACCGGCGGCTGGACCATGCTTCCGGCGAGATTCATCCAGGCCGATGTTGAGGCTAAGGCTGAGGAAGCCGAAGGTGATATAGGCGAAGCGGGGGTGGACTGCATCATCATCAGAGCTGCAGCCATGTCGAGAGATGAAATCCCCATCTGAGACGACCTTGGTGACGAAAGAGCCACTCCTGCAACAGAAGCCGTGGTTGGATTCACAGATCGGAGCTCCTCCGTCTTGTGAGCAAAGAAGCAGACGCGTCGATTGCAGCCAGTCTCGTCTTTACAGAGACGAGTGCGATACTGAGCTGGATGAAGCCAGGATTCAAACACCCCATGGGCGTACTCACAGTTGTCTCCTTTCAAGCACGAAGCTTTACGGAAATCAGGGCATGGAACGCAGCTGTAGGTGTACTTCCGGGGATCGCGGCGGCGGGCGTTCTCCCCTGGATGTACGAAGGGGCACTCAGTCCAGTCGTGCGAATAAGCCCTGGAGCAAGGTTTCACCTTGAAGGTATACATGCGGAACTCGTCCGTTCCATAAATCCCTTTCTGGATATCCGGAAGCGTTAAATCCGGCGGATACTCTTTCTTCTCCCCTGTTAACTTGGACGGAGATGAAACCCGAGGACAAGGAGCTTTCAAAATGACCTCCAGTTCTCTCGCCATCGATGAAGAAAATTGCTTGGCTATCACATCTCCGGGGCGATTTCCCATGGAATCAACTGCGTCCACATCGGCGGAAGCTTCGATCAAAAGCTTCACGGCCTGAAGCGAGGCAGCTGATCCACCCGCAGAGGCGCAGTGGAGGGCGGTTACGCCGTCGGAGCCGCAGCGGCGGTTGACATCAGCTGAGTTCCGGCTGAGGATGTAGCTGAGGACGGAAGTGCTTCCGTAGAGAGCAGCGATGGCAAGCGGCGTCCGGCGGTCGTAAGCCATCTTTCTCGCCGGCGAGGACACCGGTGCCACAGAACGAGAGTACCATTGGGCGGAGGAATCCAGATCAAGATCGGATTTTTCTACGGTTTGCTTGAAGGCCGCAAGGTCATCCGCCGCAGACAGCTCGAGAAGGAGGGAAACGGTCTCCTCCGCCATTGATGGATGGATCGTCGTCTTCCTCGAGTCATCGGCTTCCATGGATAGCGGCGATGGATGCGAGAATTGCTTCTTGGGACCGCGGCTCATGGGTAGAAGAGAGGCTAGAGGGTTGCGCTTAGTTTCTACTGGACCAGTAGGAGGAGGGCGGCCATTAAATAAGGAGAGAGAATCTGAATGCGGGGAGAAGCAGCCTCCATGCTTCCTCTGTTTCTGGTCAAAAGGCAACAGCGCACCGTAGTTGCCTTTGTATGGCACCTGCTTTCCACTTGCAAATGAAGGCGAAATGAAATGCAAATTCAAATTCGGGCCTGCCCGCGGGTAGCACGGAGAAGCGAGGCGCGGGCTTGTTGGGCATGACATGTTTTGACCGGAGGTTCGGTCACGCTGACCGCGTTCGCCCTTTGCTCTCCGCGTGACGTACGGTGGGTTGCGCGTGTCAATTTTTCACTCCCTTATTTATTTATTTATTTTTAATTTAATGCATATAATTCTATAAGTTTTAATAAGGCCTTAATCTTAACGCCCCCTAATTTTTAAAGCAGAACTGCCGGCCCGAATTGAATATTAAAAAAAATATATATTTTTTTCTTATTTTATTTCATATTTATGCCAACAATAAGTTGCAATGAATAAAAATAAAAAAAATAAAATTTTATTTTCTTTAAAGATTTAGAGTCAACTTTACACAACTATAATAATTTGAATAAACATCAGTAAAACTATCATAAAAAAATTGATATTCAAAAATCTGTGGTGGCTATTATAACTTTTTTTTTTACTTTTAAAAATTTATCGTAGCTCTCTGGTAACTATTATACTTATGGTTCTTAGTTATTTCTCGTCCCCTGCGAATGTTGTGTTTGGGAGCATAATTTTTGCCACCATTTTGTGGATTGTCGACTGCGGATTGGCAAAAGCCGAATCAGAGGGGGGTGAGGGCGTTCTACGGTATGAGCTTCATTCCGAGTGGTGAATGTTGTCCCTGCCTCTCTTCAATTCTGAAAATTCCTTATCTTAGTCCCCAAAAATATCATCCGCCCCCTCCCCTCGGCTGTCATGTGTGTGTAGGGTAATCCCAAGCTGCTAGAGTAGTCAAAGGAAGGGAGAAGGTAATCTCTAGACGGTAAAGATAGTTAGAGCATGGTACCATGGAGCCGTCATCCCCAACTAATAGGACCCTATGTCCACCTGATCCTGAAGGTAGTCGAACTAACACGTCTAAAGAACTCCGGTCAAAGATACATGAATTGTGTCTTCCGCGGAGACCTCGATAGCCCTATGATTAATGGAAGAAAACTCTATCATACGACTACAAGGTGGAGCTCCAAGTTGTGGGACTTATATCCGCTGAAGTAGTGAGAAGGCCATTGGAAAGTAAAAGAAGGGGAAGTTCAGTTATAAAACTGGAAACATCCAAACAAAGGACTTATACCTCGTCTGGGTTGGGATCCTTTAACGACCTACGAGCACCAGACAACTACTTAAGTAGAAATCTATGTTGGGTCAGCCAGGTTCGAGAATCATAGTGGCTTCTCCTCAGGACATGTAAATGTTGCAGTTACTAGAACAGTCCTTAGGTATTGTGAAAACTCTATTAATTATGACTTGGGTGAGAGTCGTGTTATGCAACCAATTTTAAAATCGACCTAAAGGCCATGTAAGAAAGTAAAGCAGGCTTTAGTCATGGTCGACCGCCTGTCATTAGGACGGATGGTGATTAGGATGGGCAGCTTCACGGTCGGAAGGCCATAAAGCCAGGCGACTACGTGGTTGGGTGACCACTTGCCGAAAGTTCACATCAACTGCTCTGGAGTTGGTGGAACCGTTTCTCGCCACGATCAATCCGAGTTGGAAGGCGATTGTCTTGATTGGATGGATCTGATCGGTTAAATTCTTTAGGGGTGATTATTTTCTCATCCATCTGGGGTGCACCGTTTCCACAGTACAAATGACTAGCCGATTAAGGATGTAACTCTAGTTCATCCTTGGTACGCCCCGTGAGACCATGTCACTTCTTTCACCATCCGCAAGATGTCTTTGCGATTTATATTAACACATTTTTTACCCACACTACTCAACTTGATATGTTAATATATAGGAGGATTTACATACATACCATTCATTTCATATGTATTTACTTATCTAACATCCCTATTTTACAATTTAACATTTTAAAATGTTAAGTTGCACCTATGAGTCAAAACAACCAATATAATGCATAGAATGATGTTTCATAAGATAAATCAAATAATATTGAATCCAATCATGAATAAAAGAGATATAGTCTTGAAAACCTCCTTTTATACCAAATATAAAAGGCTTTCAATCAAAATAATTAATTAAATCATAATCATTGTATTAAACACAATATTTTAAACATGAAATTAAACATAATCATTGTATTAAACTTTGTTTAGTGTTCGCTATCTACTTAATACGATAGCTAAAATTATAATGTCATTTTTTTTGAATTTTAGAATATTTACGAATAAAAGTGTCAATATATAGACAATTCAAAAGAATAATTAATTAAGAATGCTCTCAACAGTAGGGGTGTAAACCAACCGAACACGAACGAACAGAGCTTGTGTTCGTGTTTGGTTCATTTGAAATAAGCTCGTGTTCGTAATTGTTCGTGAAGTCATTGTTCTTTTTCTTTCTTCCCGAACGAGCCGA